GTATGTATGTACGTATGTGTATATGTGTCTATGTATGTGCGTGTATGTATGTGTGTATGTATGTATGTATGTATGTATGTATGTATGTATGTATGTTTGTTTGTTTGCTTGTTTGTCTACGTGTCTGTGCGTGTGCTGCTTCATGTTGTGTTTATGTATATTCACACGCAGTGTAGACTATACACACAAGCATGTGGACAACAGGATTGATGTTCACATTCGTGCACGCATGCTTCTGTAGAGGAAGGGTCATGCACACGCGCAGTTGTTGTCGTCGTCATCGCTGTTGATATATTGATACTTGTTTTTTTCTTTGTTGTTAGTGTTCTTGTTATTGTTATTGTTGTTGTTTCTGACTATTCTTATGATTACTGCTAGTCTTATAATTATAATGACTATTACCATTGCAATTGTATCCGCGCTGGGAACTAAACCCCAGACCTTAAACCCTAAACCCCTACAGCCCTAAACCACTGGGAACCGTTGTGCTTTGGGGTGCTGGAGGTGTGGCACCGTGCGCTTGGAGACGACGACCTTCCGCTTGGATCTCGCAGGGTTTCAATAGGCAATGCAGGGTTTTCAGGCTACTTTGAGGGCTTTTTAGGGCGTTTAGGCTTTTTAGGGCTTTTAGGCCTTTTAGGGTTTTTAGGGCTTTTAGGCTTTTTAGGGCTTTTAGGGCTTTTAGGGCTTTTAGGCTGTTTAGGGCTTTTAGGGCTTTTAGGCTTTTTAGGGCTTTTAGGGTTTTAGGGTTTGCAGCTTGCAAGGCTCTGAGATCTTTTTAAGGTTTGGGTTTAGGGTTTAGGGTTTAGGGTTGCAGCCAGGTGTGTGTGTGTGTGTGTGTGCGGACAGAGGCAGGGTGACGTGCAGAGTGTCCCTGACTGACCTCAGGGGCCTCTAGGAAAGTTGGGTTTAGGGTTTAGGGTTTAGGACATTTCTGAGATGCCGACAGTCCTCATCATCACTCTTGTTGGTGAAGTGGAGGATATTTGTTTTGGGCGGACTGGCCTGCATAACTCCAGAGCACCCACAGCCGCAGAAAGGGCCAAGAGGGCCAAGAGATTCAAAATCATTTGACCAATTTTAAGTTAGCGCTTAAACCAAAACCCCAAACCGACGAAAAAACCTACACTCTCGCCATCTCGTATAGCCCACGAATCGCGAAACCTAAACACTAAACTTGGCCTAAACCCTAAACCCTAAACCCTAAACCCTGAACCCCGAACCCTGAGCCCAAACCCTGATCCCCAGCCCGACGACAGAGCCCTATCCCAAAGCGTGACCTGAGCTCCACATCCTGAGCCCACACGCGAAAGCCTCAAATAGGTTGAGGGTTTGGGGTTAGGGTTTAGGGTTTAAGGTTTAGGGGTTTAGGGTTTAGGGTTTAGGGGTTTAGGGTTTAGGGTTTACGGTTTAGGGGATTAGGAAGCCAGGGCTTTAACGCATGGGCAGCTTAAATAGCAGTAAGCACCCTGGACTCCCAAAACCAAATCGCAAACTATTTGCAATCCAGAATATTGGACAGGAGAAAATCTACGTGTCTTGGAGGATTTTGTAGGTTCCGCGTATGTAAATATGTGTATATATATATATATGCACACATCCATATACATATATATATATATACATACATATGTATGCATGTTCATACACATACACACACACACAGCCCTCAATGAAGCTTGCATGTAAATCCTCGCAGTATAGATTCTATATTGTAGGCTTGTTTGTGTATGTGTATACATACATGTATATATACACACATATCTACCTGTCTTTGTGTGTGTTTACAAGCATATCCATGCAACCCTAAACCCTAAACCTTAAGCCCCTAAACCCTAAACCCCAGTCATCACTGCAGGTTTACGAATATCTAAACCGTAAGCTCTAAACCCTAAACCCTAAACCCAAAACCCCAAACCCTAACTACATACCCTTGCAGCCGCGAACCTCAGCGACCCGAGGTGCAGACTCGTTGCAGCTGACAGCCCTCGAGCCTGAGGAGTTCATCAGCCAGCTGGGCATGTTTGTACAGGTTAAGGGTTTAGGGTTTAGGGTTTAGGGGTTTAGGGTTTAGGGTTTAGGGTTTAGGGTTTAGGGTTTCAAGGTTTAGGGTTCAGGTGTCTGCGGGTTTTAGGGTTTAGGGTTTCAAGGTTTAGGGTTCAGGTGTCTGCGGGTTTTAGACATTTTAAGGGTTTAGGGTTTCAAGGTTTAGGGTTCAGGTGTCTGCAGGTTTCAGTTTTGCGGTGTGAGCTTTGGGTTCCCTTGGGAGTCTGGGGCAAATCGCCGAAGTGCCAAGTCCGACATCCCAAGAACCCGAAAGCCACGGTTTAGGGTTTAGGGTTTCGGGTTTAGGGTTTAGGGTTTAGGGTTTAGGGTTTCGGGTTTAGGGTTCATTACCCCAAACCCGTCCCCAAAGTGGGCCCTCTGCGGAAAGGTCAGGCACCATAATATACCATGACATACTATAACATATTATAATATAATTGCCATAATCGATCATAATATACAACTTTGCCAGCACTTTTATATATGATACCATAAGTACCATAATATACACTATAATATAATTGCCACAATGGACCATATTATAATATAATTGCCATAATATATACTATAATATACAACCTCTTCCCAGCGAGCAGGATTCGGGGGGGTGATTTTGCGCGGCCTCTGGGCCACGGGCCTGGAGGGCCTCTCGGAAGCCTGCAGAGGGCCTGTGCTGAATATTACAGTATATTATAGTATATTATAGTATATTATAGTCTTCTATAGTATACTATAGTATATTCTAGTATATTATAGTATACTACAGGATGTGCTGGTATATTGGCACACAGAAGTGCTCTTGAATGAAAGGAATAGGAGTTGGGGCGTAGCCGCTTTTTTCGGCGTGGAAAGGGAAAGAAGCACGGAAAGGCCTTCCACGGACCGGCGTTGACAGCTCATCGTCATAGTACGATGCACTCGACACGAACCTTGCCGCAAGACACTGTCGTCGATGTGCTTCCACGGCAAACCCCAAGCCCCAAGCCCAGAACCCTAAACCCTGAGCTCCGTAAACTATAGCTCTAAACACTAAACTTCACTAAACATCAAACCCCAAGCCTGAAACCCCAAACCCAAAACCCCAGCACCCTAAACCCCAAATCCGAAACCCCAAGCCCCAAACCCGACTTGGGCAGCTGCTAACCAAGCTCCTTCGCCAGGCAAGGTGGAGTGCGTCGAGGCCGGGTTCAGGGCTTGGAGTGTAAGTTTCAGATTTTGGGGTTTAGGGTTTAGGGCCTCGGGGTTTGGGTTTAGGGTTTAGGATTTAGGGTTTAGGGCCTTAGGGTTTGGGGTTTAGGATTTGGGGTTGGGGGTGAAGGGTTTGGGGGTTTGAGGTAAGTATCGGGTCTTCGCATCTGGGGTGTGCGGTATAAGAGTTCTTGGCTTCAGGTCTAGATGGTCTACGGCTTAGGGAGCTCAGAACCCTCGGGTAGTATTGTCATGACCTCTTACCGTTTTGTGGTTGCCGTTGTTCCCGCTATAGTGACCCTAAACCCTAAACCGTATTATAGTGTTGGTGCCGCACCACAATACTCTGCCATCCAACGCAACGCACGGACTTGGTTGTAGCAGCCTTGCGCCCGACGCCGAAGTCCACTCACACCTACAGCGTTTAAGTGGGTTTGGGGTTTCGGGTTTAGGGTCTAGGGATCTCAAATAACTTGCATGACAGGCTTGGCATGATCCCAAAGTCATTACGGAGCCTTGCAGAGCCATGTCAATACTCGTTTTGCAACTCTTATCGGGCCCCTTTGGGAGCCTTTTAAAGTTTAAGAACCCTTCCTGTAGCTCGTATGGTAGTTTCAGACAACTAGGGTCCCCCTATTTTCTGAAACTCCTTCATAGTATGAGTTTAGGGTTTAGGGTTTAGGGTTTAGGGTTTAGGGTTTAGGGTTTAGGGTTTAGGGGTATAGAACCCTGAATGCTGACCCCAAAGCTGGCGACAGAAATCAGGACGGCCTGGAGATCAGCTTCAACACTGGCCGCGAGGGCCCCAGTTCCCACTCCCAAAATCCTTGAAGTTCGAACTCGCGAAAAACACTAAAACTCTAAATCCCCCAAAACTCAAACATGCCCGGGCTCCAAAGCTCTATGGCACCAAATCCATGAAGCCACAAAGCCTGAGCTCGTGAAAGACCTCATGCCCTGAAGCAACAAAGCCCTTCGCTTCAGTGGTAGTAGCAGCAACAGCGGGAGGAGGCGTCGTCGTTGTAGTAGGAGGAGGGCTTATAGCACTAAGCAGTAACATAGTAGCAGCACCTTCGTCGTGCTCGAAACTTACATGCACCCCTGCTTCTTGCAATCCCCACGAGGCGTGACGACACTGCCAGGAAAGGGCCCCCTATTTGGGCCCTTCGAAGCGTGCGACGCCCTGCATTGCAGGTTTAAAGGATCAGGGCTTGGTGGGTGTTTAGTGGGTAACGTGTTTGTGGTTTAGGTTTGTGGGGGTTTGAGGTGTGGGTGTTAGTGTGTATAGGACCGTGGGCTCGGAATTTGGCTTGTTCGGAGGTGTAAGTAAGAGTCGAAGCGGTGCGCAAGGCTCTTTTCTCCGTCTGTAGTAGTAATGATGTTGATGCTGATGATGATGAGGATGTGTCGTTGTCGCTGCTGTGGTGGTGGTGGTGGTGGTGGCCGTTGCGTTGTTGTTGTGGATGATGGTGGTGCTGTGTTGATAGTCAGGATGATGCTTGCGGAAATGCTGATGGTGATCTGGCAAGCGCTGGTACCGCTGATGTCGGTGGTGATTCAGATGCGACTGACGGCAGAGAGGAGGTTACTGTTGATGTTGGTTATGTCGGAGATTGTCGTCATCAACCGGTAGAGCATTTGAATGAGTCCGTGACTAGAGAAAAGCATCGCCAGGAGCCAGCACATGAATCAACAGCAGAGAGTGCAACACTGGCAGTTGGTGAGGCAAAGATACGTCCCGTTTGAGTTGGCGATATATTGGCGGTCCACAGATGCGCATCCGGCTGAGGCCTAATCATTAACACAGACAGACTCTTTGCAATCACCGGGCCACCAAAGGGACTTTGCCACCATGTCAAATTCTTGGTGATACAGCGCTAGCCTCCTCCTGAGGCCACTGGGATTCTACATCGACGGCCTCCGCGTGAAACCGATGGACGCAGCCGATGCCGGGGGCTTTCGAAGCAGATCCGGCTTTGAGGCCAATCCCAGCATTAAACACCGCTCGCAGCCCCAAAGACCTAATGCATTCGTGTGCAGCGTTTGTCGGTTTAGGGTTTAGGGTTGGGGGAGTCTAGGCCATGGGCTTCTGCCACAAAAAGCCGATCGGCTCTCTGATGTTTGCAACGACCACATCCCAAGGAGTCTGGTGCCCAGGACTTCGTGACGGGAGTCGTGGGGTCCTCAGCTACTGGAGGGCAGAATTAGCGGCCTTGTGGCTAGCAAAACACTTTTGCGTTTAACGGTCCCGGTCGAGAGGGTCAATGCGTTTTGATCGATGATGGCGATGTTGATCTGACAATGCATGCTGATCTTTCTGTCTCTCATCAGTGTTGACTCTGGTGCTATCCCGCCACAGAACCATGGGTCCGGAATAGCTTTCGACCAAGAGTTCAAGACTGCCGGATCCAGGGTCTAGGATTTAGGACTTCGCACCCCGGTCAATCGCCGAAACCTTGAAACCCTAAACCCTAAACCCTTGCCAGGGCAAGAGCAGGTCTTGGAGGCTTCAAGGTCCCAGGCTGATACGACGAAGACACACATGGGTAGTTGTCAAAATTAGGGTCTCTTTTGGGGTACCCTAAATAATAGGTGCCGTATTATAATAAGGACCCAAAAAGGGACCGCAATTTAGAAAACTACCCACATATCTGACTACCTGGTTGCTGAGCTGACTTTGGTGGTAGAGCAAGACTGTGAGAATATCATGTCATGTCACATTTTATCATGCTTATTAGTTTTAATTACATTGTTCTAGATCACTTTCTAGTATCACATTGTTCTAGATCATGACATAGTATGGTCAAATGTATCGCCTCCGTCGAACATCTGAAGCCACAGCGCGCAGCCCCGACCTCACACTTTGCACCCGCGAAGCCCATCAGACTCGGTGAACCCTAAACTCTAAGTTTTAAACTCTGAATCCTAGCATTGAACTTACGGTTCAGGGTTTAGGGTTTACGGTTTAGGGATGTTCGGGGTTTAAGGTTTGCAGTTTAGTGTCTAAGGTTTAAGGCCCTGAGTCCCACCCTAAGCCCCTACATGCGGCTTACCCTAGGCCCTAAATTCTTACCGCTACACACTAAAACAGGCCCGGAATCCCAGAACGTAAACCCCTTACTCCGTATATAGAACCAAAGAAAGCCTTGGTGTAGAAGCCTTAAAGGCAGGAATCCGATGTTGCACTCCGGACTCTAAGCCTCAAAGGACCTGGGTCCAAAAAGACCGCGACATCGACAGAACCCGCATGAACCTTATAGAAGCCTAGAGAAACCGATTTGATATGAAACCGTATAAGTAGCACCCCTGAGAGGTACCCGTATAGAATCCCCAAAGACCCCTGAGAGGAACTCATACAGGACCTGCTCCATGCCTTTAGAGGACCTGGCGCCGCTCCCCCACGCCGCGGAGTACGACGCTCCCAGTGCGCTGCTCTACACGGCGGAGCAAGAGCACGGAGACTCGGGGGGGCGTGGGGATGCTTTTGGGTGTTTACCGGGTCCTGTAAGGGCTTCTAGAAGGGATTCTGAGAAAAGTTTTAAAGTGTTTAGGGATGTTAGGGGCCTTCGGGATCAAGAAGGATCTCGGCTTTTTAGAAATTCTGGTCTGTTTGTCTTGAGTAGATGTATTTTTTGGGGAGGATTGTGGGTTCGAGGATTCGTGGATTAGCGCAGGAGATTCAAGCTTCAGGGTTTGTTTTGGCCAGGAGTTCGGCCATGCCTTCAAGCTTGAGGTCTCAAGGCTACAGAGTCCATGGTGCAGTGTATGGGGTGTTGTTGGGAGAGTAGCTTTGGGCTCTAGAGCACTTGCTTGCGTTCTGTTGTCCCAGTTTTTTTAAAGTTTCAACTTCTGAAGCTGCGGCCGTGCTCTTGTGGTGGTACTAGAAGTTCCATCACTGCTCCTGCTCTTGCTACTTGCTACCACAACGATTGGCGACATTGCTGCTTCTGCTGCTGCTGCTGTTGCTGCTACGAGGATGACGTCGCCATGACCATGAGCCTCATGATATGTAGGTCGGAAAACCCTGCACCTCGAGCTTTCAGCTGGTAGGCTCAAGCCGTGCACAGACCCGAACAGGTGAAGCTCGAAACCCCAAAGCGACATTCCCAAACTCAACCCGCTAAGCCCCATACCCTAAACGCCAAGCGCACCCTAAAGTCTTATCAGATTTGAAAACCGGGCTTCCCATTCCGAGATACCTGCGGTCCTTGCGCGAGATCTTGGCCAAGGTTCGTTAATTCTTGATCTGACCCTAAACCCTAAACTCCTAAACCCCTAAACCCCTAAACCCGTAAACCCTAAACCCTAAACCCTAAGCCTTAACGGTCTCAGCAGGGAGACTTTGGGCTGAGGATCGTAGTGCTTGTTAGGACTTTTGGATTTTTTTTGGGTATGTCGATAAACCCACAAAACCGCGAGCCCTACATCGGTCTACTGCAACACTCAAACCCTAAACCCTAAACGCTCTTGTAGGAGATGCCGGGAAAAGCTTCCAAAAAAAACACGCTGGGATGCAGCTGGCACCCTAAACCCTAAACCC